CCGCAAACATGCTGAAAACGTGCAAACTGGACGGTTTATCAAACCTCAACCAACTACTAATTCTCTACGCTGGGTTTATGTAACCCAGTTCAATCATATCGTGATAGGAAAATGTAATGGTGACAACGAACAGTGTTTCATTGTACCAGGAAAGTTAAAGGCTTTATCATAGAACAAATACAGAAATATACGTATCTAGGCACATGGATAACATCCGATGAGGGTCTGGCATTAGAGAGATAAAGAACAGAACAGGACAGGACAGAACAGGACAGGACAGGACAGGACAGGACAGGACAGGCGTTTTGGCCTAGTTATGCCATTAACAAAATGAAGAAAATGTGCAACACATCCATGTCACTGGAGATGAGGAAAATCATTATCGAAATCTATATAGAGCCAGTTTTAACATATGGCAGTAAATCCTAGACAAATAATGAATACACCGAACAATTTATTCAGGCCTCGGAGAAGTGGTTTCAATGAAGACTGCTTAGATGTTTTTAAAGAGGTGACTATTTGAAGACAGCTTATGACAAATACCAGAAACAGTCTTAATTTTTCAGTCATGTTGTGAAAAGAGAACAAAGTGAAACATGCTCTGACCACCGGAATGATTGTGGAAAGGGAGACAGAGAAAACAGTCCTAGAGAATTCTTGAAACATGTTTCATGTCATGGAGGAGTGTCAACGAAATGACTGATACATGGAGAGGCATGATCCACCACTCTAGTCGGCAAGGCACTTGATGATGATGATACCTGAAAGTATTGGTTATTTTTCCAGACACCGATTACTTCCGGTAGGCGGCTCAAAGTTCCAACCGCCATATCCGAGTTCTCTGTCGTTACCAGGGATATTTTCTATCGCCACTGGACAACAAACTCAACTGATGTAGTTTTTTTTTTTTTTTCTGGCCAGAATCACTGAATGTCTGCTCTCTATAAGAGGTGTGTAAACCATTATGCCGATGGCAATCACAGAAGAGATAGATTGTTGACTTTGTTGACGTCTCCAGGTGCATTGTGCAACCATTGAACTTTTTATAACATTCATTTGAATAAGCACAAGCGTAAAACATTACAAAATGCATTCCAAAGCTGCCTAATTTATCATTATAATGTTATGCTCTGTATACACGTAGGGCTCCCTTTTTGTTCCTCCGTTCTGTTCTGTTCTGCGCAATCAACATCGCCTGTGGCCTTTGTCTAAAGGACGTAAGAAACACCCATGTGGTAATTCTCACGGACCTACAGAACATTCTGGGAACGGTTGAAACACGTATGTTCCATGCTTAGTGGCAAGCAAAGCTTCAGAGACACGGGCAGTTAGCGTCCAGTGAATGTGTTCTCTGGGCTGTGCGGGATGATGGGAAGCGAACCGACAGACAGACTGGCTGGTTCTCTGCAACTATGTTGTCAATTGATGTCTGACATGTACAGATGTACAGTCAGACTTTTGCTGGTGCCATAAGAACTAGCACAGTGTTTGCTGCTAAAGGTGGGGATAGAGTGCTAATGGGAATGCCCCGAGTGCTGTCATGTCCATTCCTAACTCAACATTCAATCCCATACGTTCGTCTTTGGGTTTCCTTGGTGCCTGTGTCAACTATTTCAGTTGCAGTTACGTTTGTCGTTTCCCTCCGTTCTAAGTTTTTATCGGAATGCTTTGTGCAGAGCTAACAAGATAGTAGATGGGTGGAGGAGGTGATGACTTGCTGGTAGGTAGAACATAACATTCACATCATCATCACCATCATGTCTATGTGGAATTGTGTCATCTGTCACAGTTTGCCATTTCTTTTGATGAGCATCACCACAACTCACATCTATGAGTTTCAAACACTCACGTCACGTGGGCCAGACGACCATGTCTATATTTCTATGTCCACTCGTTTTTTTTCCCATTCAAGTCAGCAAGTTTCCACTATGTTTTCTAGATTCACACCTCTCCCTCCTCCCCAGCTAATCAGCTTGAGCTTCCATGTCTCTCTAGAGAAACAAATGCCGAGTCAGTGTTTCAGTCAGTGTTTCAGTCAGTGTTTCAGTCAGTGTTTCAGTCAGTGTTTCAGTCAGTGTTTCAGTCAGTGTTTCGGTCAGGGTTTCAGTCAGTGTTTCAGTCAGTGTTTCAGTCAGTGTTTCAGTAAGTGTTTAAGTCAGGGTTTCAGTCAGTGTTTCAGTCAGTGTTTCAGTCAGTGTTTCAGTCAGTGTTTCGGTCAGGTTTTCAGTCAGTGTTTCAGTCAGCCTATCCTATTCTATGTGTCTTGCATTAAAACTACAGTTGCACTGCCGTGTAAGTTGTTCCTGTCTTGTCTGCTTATTGTTGATAGAGGAATGTAGTATCTCTGTAACACATACCACGTCTTCTCAGGGCAACATCGAATATTAACCGTCAGTTCTACACACACTTACACACTCACACTCACACCCACACTCACACACACACGCACACCCACTCATACACACAAGCACACTCACACACACACTCACACACGCAGACTCACACACACACCAACTTTACCCTATCAATGTCAGAATGGACAGTCCTAGGAAAACCTGAAGGCAGAATTGCAACACGTCAGATGTAATGTAGAAGAAAACAAGGACTTAGTCACCAACAAAGAACTCAGAATGATAGAGGGCACAACACAACGGGCAGAATTTATATAGCATCATACAATGAAATAGATTGGTCATCTTGTCAGAGTGGGGAAACAAATCAGTCAGCAGCTAGAGCGTGAGACAAGCAGGTTACAGGTCTGCAGGAAAGACAAGGGTGCCGGCAGTAAAACCAGACACTACATACACTCAGTATGACATTACTACAAGCTAGCCAACTAGTAACACACAGAAGAAGCCACATCTTTCACCTGGCTGCGACGCTTTGGGTCATAAACAGAACGACAACAGAAGGAAGCTACTCCTCTCCGTGAGGCTTTATGGCATAAACAGTAGGACAACAGAAGAAACTACATCTCTCCATGAGGCCTCTGGCATAAACAGTAGGACACAAGAAGGAAACGACGTCTCTCCATGAGGCCCCATAGCATAAACAGTAGGACACACCAAACATAAGGAAGAAGCTCAGGGCAACAGTTTTGTTGTTGTTTAATTGATAACAAACATATTTAGCATTTTTCAAACTTCGACTTTTCCCTTCGATGTTTCTATTTTAATCTCGTAAAGGAATCTAATCCCAGAAATTGTAAATAACTAATTCACTTGTTGAAGAATTGTTTCTTTTATACGGATGTTACAGTCTGGCTTCTCTGTCTTCAGTTTTATTGTCTTCTGAGAGTCTAAGCTAGCAGTTCACTTGATGCTCACCCCATTGTGTACTATACATGCATTCACTAAACACCTCACATCTGGTTCATTGTCAAGAGATCACATTCAGTAGATCACACAGTCAGTCAACACCACAGATCTGGTTGAATGCAAGTAGGTCCCATTTACACATTCACTAAACACTGTGACAATAAAGTGATCTGTATGACTATCGGAGAGAATGAAAATATAGGACTAAATTGATATATCTGACTATGTAAGAATATAGAAATACAAGACTAAGGCGATGTCTGTGACTCTATGTGAGAGTATAGAACTGTTAGACTAAAGTGCTACTGTGTGACTCTATGTGAGAGTATAGAACTGTTAGACTAAAGTGCTGCTGTGTGACTCTATGTGAGAGTATAGAACTGTTAGACTAAAGTGCTACTGTGTGACTCTATGTGAGAGTATAGAACTGTTAGACTAAAGTGCTGCTGTGTGACTCTATGTGAGAGTATAGAGCTGTAAGACTAAAGTGCTGCTGTGTGACTCTACGTGATAGTATAGAACTGTAAGACTAAAGTGCTGCTGTGTGACTCTATGTGAGAGTATAGAGCTGTTAGACAATTGTGCTGCTGTGTGACTCTATGTGAGAGTATAGAGCTGTTAGACTAATGTGCTGTTGTGTGACTTTATGTGAGAGTATATAACTGTAAGAAAAAGGTGATGCTGTGTGAGTCTATGTGAGAGTATAAAACTGTAAGACTAAAGTGATGCTGTAGGACTCTATATGAGAGTATAGAACTGTTAGACTAAAGTGTTGCTGTGTGACTCTATGTGAGAGTATAGAGCTGTAAGACTAAAGTGCTGCTGTGTGACTCTATGTGAGAGTATAGAGCTGTAAGACTAAAGTGCTGCTGTGTGACTCTATGTGAGAGTATAGAACTGTTAGACTAAAGTGGTGCTGTGTGACTATGTGAGAGTATAGAACTGTTAGACTAAAGTGTTGCTGTGTGACTCTATGTGAGAGTATAGAACTGTAAGACTAAAGTACTGCTGTGTGACTTTATGCGAGAGTATAGAACTGTAAGACTAAAGTGCTGCTGTGCGACTCTATGTGAGAGTATAGAGCTGTAAGACTAAAGTGCTGCTGTGTGACTCTATGTGAGAGTATCGAACTGTTAGACTAAAGTGCTGCTGTGTGACTCTATGTGAGAGTATAGAGCTGTTAGACTAAAGTGCTGCTGTGTGTCTCTATGTGAGAGTATAGAGCTGTTAGATTATATTGCCGCTGTGTGACTCTATGTGAGAGTATAGAGCTGCTAGACTAATGTGCTGCTGTGTGACTCTATGTGAGAGTATAGAACTGTAAGACTAAAGTGCTGCTGTGTGACTCTATGTGAGAGTATAGAACTGTAAGACTAAAGTGCTGCTGTGTGACTCTATGTGAGAGTAGAGAACTGTAAGTCTAAAGTGCTGCTGTGTGACTCTATGTGAGAGTATAGAGCTGTAAGACTAAAGTGCTGCTGTGTGACTCTATGTGAGAGTATAGAGCTGTTAGACTAAAGTGACAATATCGATTATTTTTTACACATCCAAGAACAGTGAGGTAAAGGTAAAAATTATTTTTAATTTTTTTTTCTTCTTTTAATTTGAATGTGTCTAGCATAACTTAGAGAGGTCTGGCCATAACAGATATTCCCCGGAGCTAGCTAATGATGATGATGCAATATGCATATTCTCGTTCAAGTTCTACTAGCGTTGACGATTGTGGCAGGTACAACCGTTTTATTTCCTAAAAAATTTTGTCTATGGTCTGGTCATTTCTTTTTTTTTTTTTTAATTGCTCTGCACCCCTCGTTTTGATTAAACTCTGTGTGTCACTTGTGTCTGTCTGTCTGTCTGTCTATCTGTCTGTCTGTCTGTCTCTGTGTGTGTGTGTGTGTGTGGGTGGGTGGGTGCGTGCGTGGGTGCGTGCGTGCGTGCGTGTGTTTGTGTGTGTAATTGTAATTTGGTATCAACTGAGCTAGTAAATCAAGTTGTAATTGGTTATCACCTGAGCTAGTAAATCAAGTTGTAATTGGGTATCACCTGAGCTAGTAATTACTAATCAAGTTGCAATTGGGTATCACCTGAGCTAGTAAATCAAGTTGTAATTGGGTATCACCTGAGCTAGTAAATCAAGTTGTAATTGGGTATCACCTGAGCTAGTAAATCAAGTTGTAATTGGGTATCATCTGAGCTAGTAAATCAATTTGTAATTGGGTATCACCTGAGCTAGTAAATCAAGTTGTAATTGACAGTGCTACTCTATATCAACGACCTGCTTTCTGAACTACCCCATGGAATTAAAGCTGCAATGTATGCTGATGACTTGGTACTCTGGTGTACAAATGAAAATGCGACAGTGGCTACCAGACTGCTACAAAGAGCCATAGATGCAATGGCTAAATGGGCCGACAAATGGTGTGTCAGCATCAACATAGGCAAATGCAGCACCACCCTCTTTACCCTTTCTCCTAAACAAAAATCAGGCGCCATGCACATAAATGGAGTACCCCTGAGAGAGGATAAGGAGCCCACATACCTCGGCGTAACGTTTCATGATAGATTAACATGGAGAAAACACATCAACAAGGCAGCAACCAAAGCCAGAAGGAGGGTAGCCATTCTGAGAAAACTAAGTGGAACCACATGGGGTGCTAGCGGGAAAATACTTAGAAAAGTTTACCAACAAAGTGTTCGACCACATCTTGAATACCGATCAACAGCATGGAGTTCGGCATCAAAAACCACATTGCAAGAATTAGACAAAGTGCAAAATCAAGCACTCAGAGTTACCACAGGCAGTATGAAATCAACACCTATAGCTGTGATGGAGAAAATGGGGATGACCCAAGCACTAAGTGAACGCAGAGACACCAAGATGCTTTTACAAGCAGAAAAGTTTCTTAGTATGCCCAGTCACCCTATGAATGAAAGATTCAAAAATTTAGCTTTGGGACGACTAAAGAGAAGTAGTTTTATCCACCAGGCCAAACGGCTCGGCAGACAAACCACTGATTTACCTGCAACTGATAGATCCTTAAATGCTGTCCCAGAACGGACCCCCTGGAGAGAGGAGTATAAGTTTCCAATACACATCAAGACTGAAGTGAAAGGGGTATTTGACAAGGAAGAACAAAACAGTGTGCAGCGCAAAACAGCCACCCTCAGTCTACTTGATGATGAATACCCGCAGAATCTTTGGGTCCGTGTTTACACAGATGGGTCAGCAGAAAGCGCAGTCAGAAACGGAGGTGCGGGAGTGTACATTGAGTATCCTAATAATACCAGGGATACAGCCAAATTACCAACAGGAAAGCACTGTCACAACTATGATGCAGAAGTTCAAGCCATCAAGATAGCGGTAGAGAAACTACTAAATACAGGGTATTTTTCACAACCAGTGGTATTCCTGACAGATGCAAAAGCAGTACTTCAGTCACTCCAGTCTGGAAAATTACCAAGCATACGGACACTATTATCCGAACTAGGCAACCGCTGAAAATTAGTAATGCAGTGGATACCTTCCCACTGTGGAGTTCCCGGAAACGAAAAAAGCTGATAAACTAGCTAAGGAAGGTGCAACTGAAGAACAACCTGACATACCAGTTTCTTATCAACAGAAGAAGAGAATGATCAAATCAATCAGAATGCCACCGAAACTGGCACAAGATGATTACCATATTATGGACAGACCAGAGCAAGTTATTATCCTTCGCCTTAGAACAGGGCACAATAGACTTCGCTCCCACATGTACAACAAATTTAAGATTGGCCAATCGGCCATGTGTACTTGTGGACTGGCACCTGAAACAACAGATAACATCCTTCAAGACTGTCCCATATTCAACGCTTTCAGGCAAAACATTTGGCTAAAAGAGACACTTGTGGAAGTCAAACTTTACGGGCCGCTTAGTGAATTACAAAAGACAGTAAAATTCATACAAGAGACGGCTTTGCAGATATAGACAATTTATTTCATGCGAACGAAAGAAGAAGAAGAAGAAGTTGTAATTGGGTATCACCTGAGCTAGTAAATGAAGTTGTAATTGGGCATCACCTGAGCTAGTAAATCAATCTGTATCTACATTTCCTTTTTTTTCCCTTTGTCTATATCAGTCAGTACGCGACATATTATTGAAAAAGAAAATATCCTCGACTAATCAGTAACATGACTATATATCCCTGGGTAGATGTGGACTGATCGCATATTGGACAGTCCTAATTGTTCCTTTTACCGATCGCTGCATTGCCAAGTGTTCCAGTCTGTATATTCCCCATGAGGTCGCTGTGGTAGAGAATCCATTGTTAAATTGTACTAACTGAATGAGAGGCTATACAAGTGGGGTTCTTTTTCGTTCTTATAAATAAAAAGTTCACTGGGTGTTTTGCCTGGTCTCATGTGAACATAAAATCGCTTCAGTGCCTGAACTTCAGCTATTTATCGAATTAATATTTTAAAGGGAGCATGTTATGCAAGGACTAAAACAGCTGTTGGACTAGAATTGTTTGCGCTGCCCCACTGAGTCGATACATGATCATTCCTATCCCAAGCACATCAGCTAAGAGAAATATTGTCACCTTACACCAACTGCACTTTTTCATCAATTCAATTGTACTGCCCGTATCGAAGAGAGAGCTTGGAAACAGATCGTCAGAGCATACAACAAAACTGAGTGAAGATCCTGTGTTACGATTAGCCGGAAAGTGAGAACCAGTTTCTTCGATATTCACCACATGGATGACCCAGAAAACAAAGCTTTAATGTGCCTTTACACCCCCCCCCCCCCCAAACTTCCTCTTGGGACACTAAATATTCAATTAATGAAACTGATAGAAGCCTTAATAATTAAAGTGAACAGTTCGGCGCTGCAAACAAAGATATATATATATATTTATATATATTTGAAATATCTTTGCAGTGACGTGGAGAATGTTGAGTTTCCTGCAGTGACATCTACAGTCTAACTAGAGACATTCAGATTATTTATTTGTTCAGTGTCGATGGAAATAATGAATGGTGTTCTTAGTCTTAGAATTAGTCGAGGTTTAAACCTCATGGCAATCAAGTCACCCCATACTTCCTCCGTTCCTGTGCCAGTAAAAATCAAATGGAATGCCTCTCACTGTCCCATTGGAAAATTGGCCAACAAACATTTAGTCCCGCCACAATCCAGAAATATGCGCACAAGTAGATGTATATAACGCAGATGCTACATGCGTCAAAGCCAACAGTAGCTAACAGAAAGTCAGTTTGTCGTTGATGGAAGTATTCGGGCAATATGGACTGGCTATACACACGTAGAATTTTTGCATAAAGTATTACCCCAGCCCGCACGCAAACCGACAACTGGCCATATTGAATACCACTAAGCAGCCACCACTCAGCCACTGTACAAATGAAAGGCATTCCACTTGAAAAACACAGATCGTAGTGTAGCACCAAGTACTCAGCTAAGTAGCTTATTCAACGACAACAATGTCATCCTTATGTAGAAACTGCATTAGCAAAGCGCTGTCAGAAGCAAAAAAAAAAAAAAAAAATAACTTCAAAGCTAAACATTTTGCCATGTGTGGTCCTTCACATTGTGCCAGAACTTTGTGCTATTTTGTAAGTTGACTAAACTATGTAGAAGTAGGGGACATAGCAAGATGATAGCGAAATATGGCATGCAATAAACTGAGAAATATTATGTCTGTGTGCGCAATAATTAAACATTAGTTAAGGGAAAACATTACATAGAATCATATTTATCTATCTTTGCAATTGTAAGCTTCTTGTCATTCAAGTATTTTTACTTGCAGTACAAAACATTATTATTTTTTTTGTTTTTGAGGTCAGCATTTTGTAAGGATTATTTCGATATGTAAGTGCCTTTGATTATTATCAACCAGACCCATTATAATATTGTTCTTCTAATGTTGACATCTATTTCTTTAGGCACCTTCAGCCAGACAATAAAATTGGA